AAAGAAAAAAGCCAGGACTGAGGTTTCAACATGTGGAATCCCAAAAACAGATGACGTCATGGTGGCTACATCCATCTTCTACATACCATCTATGGTTTATAGACAGATAAATGAACTGAAGTGGCACAGCAGTTATAGTCAAATATACAGAGAGTTTATTTGACTACACAATCATCTTGTTCAATCAAACCACCTAAATATTGTGCATGCGTTTCATTCTGAAATGTTACATTATAGGGCGCTCATTTCAAATTTGCTTTCCAAGTAGACAAATAGTAAAAGAATACACAATCCCAAGTGACATCTTTGTTCATTTATTTATCCGAATATTGACATAAATCCTAAGTATTTTTATAAAGGTTTAAACTGGAAAAAAAGGGAATCCTTACACTTACAGAACCTTTATGAATTGCTGCTTGATGAATACCTGCATCAATTAACTTGTAGCTGACTAGTTCCCTGCATTAAAATATCTGTTAAATGTCCATGCTTTTAACTGTCTCCATGACATCTGGAGGAAACAGCTGCTGTGTGAACAACGGTCTGATTTTGATTAACTGATTAAGAGCTACACTGGTTTTATTGTAGAAGGTCTGAATATTACAATATTAATAACAAAAGCCCTTCTCTAATCTAATAACTTTAAATAGAACAGTACACTGCCTGGTGGCCATCACACAGTTTTCAGAAATGCCGCATCTTGTTTGAAGACAGAGAGAGTCAACACTGTAATTACAGGGTGCATGTAACTAACTATCGGTTTAAAAATGGAAAGTATTTGAGAGGTAAAGTCATTGAAAGCTAATTGTGAAAGCCTTTCATCACTTGCTGATAAGCAGTTAATGCCTTGTGCACTAAGCAGCCCTCTTACGTGCGACATATTCTCCTCGTTGAGGGTATAATACCTTCATCACTGCGACACGCTCCAGTGAGGAGGCTAAGAGAGCTCTGACATACGTCAAAGCAGGAGGACATTTTTCACATATTGCTGTGGACTAACAGCTCGAGGGTGCCGGCGGCGACTGTGCTGTGTTGACTGGAACTTCTCTCTAAAGGTCTTTGTGACCAGAGCTGTGACGCACAGACGAGTTCCCCAGAGGCTGAGCGTGGAATTTGAGTCAAGGGATAGAAGGGGGGTAGGGGGGGACCTTCTCACGAGATTAAACCACGCTAAGGTCTGCACCAGTAAGTGTGGGGTAACCAGGCAACATGACCATACCCACGTCAGCATCACAAATGCACTCAGGTGGAGTCACGCTGGACTGCCAGAAGCCATGACAAGATAATTCTCCTGAAAGATGAAAATCATTTGTCATGGACACACAGAGTTACGTTGCATGCTCTCCACAAACATGCTCACAGGTTCAATAATAATAACAGCCATACCAAAATTATCTCACAGAAACGTCATCATACTACTGAAAGAAAGTAAACACGTGTAGCGCTTAGAAAAATATGTAGCATCTGTTTATGCAGTGTAAAAGACAGCTGTTTTGATCAAAACTTTGCCAGTTTTACACTCAATTTTTATATTAGATTTTGGCATGCTGCACTTTCCTTTGGGGTGGACCGAACATTTGCTCAACAAAAAAGCTTCAACTGAATGCCCCCTAAATGCAAAATTTTCAAATGCATCCCTTTATTCATTTAAAAAGTCTGACAGACTAACACTAAAACACTGCTGAATACTGCAGATGGATTTCCTGGTACTAAAAATCTTGATCAATACGTATTTAAAATGATCATCATTACCTGTCTCATTAGCTACAAAAACAAACAAAAAAAGCTATTAACTGAGAGTTAATAGATTACTAGCTCGGTTAGTAAACTGAGACTAGTTTTGCCAATTTTCTGTAGTAATTGGAGATGGGAATCCAGAAGTGGTTCCAACTGATTCAATACATGGGAATTATGTGCCTCAAACTTCCTTTTATCATTGCTGGCATGTTTGTTTTCCTGACAGTTGGATGTTGCAAAATGTCAGAAGCTTTTGCACAACTCAGTCATATGCAATTCTTTGTCTTCTACTCTGTTTCTGCAGTCTTCAAAGTCAGAAAAAAAGACTAAAGACTAGTGCAGGTCTTCATATTATCCACAAAACAGATACTGTGTGGAGTAAACAGATCAGAAATCAGAAAGGGATTAATACCAAATAAATGTAAGTACTAAAAACACTCTTAAACACTTATTAACATTTAAATAAAAGCTAAACTCTACAGTTATTTTTTAATCATAAATCAGTCTATCATCTACATTACTAAAAGTCCAGTCCAAGAGTTTGTGCAATGCATAGGCTTTAAGAATGCGACTTCACATCTTAAATTCAGATTTTAGCTGAGCACATTCACCTGAGAAATACACCGCTTGGAACGTCAGATATTATAATGAAGTGTTGCTACTCCTATAAGAACAGCAACTCCTCCCGAAACACGTCTGAGTTAAAGAGAAGTTTAAACATTTAAGGCAGACTATGTTAATCTACTGTTTACTGCAGCTCTAATAAAGCACTTCACTCACATTTACTGAACTACGTTTAAAAAGAAGAGCATCAGTTTCCCCGCTCTGATAACCTACAGTATGATAACTTCCCACAACACGCTGTAGTGTTTTCACACTGTTGTAATACTGGCGCTGTTAAATTCAAAGAAAGCCCTGCTGCAGGTAGGCTTTCCAAGAAGTGTAATATTCCATCATACTTGTAAATCTCTCAAATATTCGCTGACCTTCACAGAGATTTATCCAGCATGTTTTCTCAGAAATATCGCCATGACATCACTCATGTCTCCTCTTGAAAAAAAAAAAGAATCCTAACCGCTGATTGAAACACCTGTTTACCAACCATGTATGTGCACAAAAAAAATTTGCCAACCATTTAAAGCTGCAAAGTGTTCTTTCCCATACTCTTACCTCGTGTTTACACTGGTTGTTGCCTCAGGTTAATGGACTGGAAGTCACAGTCTACCATCTGGCGTTTATTAAAAGCAGCAGCAGTGTGGACACAGCAGAATGAAGAAAGATTATTTATGTAATCTCTGTACTGATACTCACCTGGCCTCTCGGATCCAAAACCGGGTTTGTTCCTTTGTTTTGTTTTTGTTTTTTATGTGGTTGTTTTGTTTGTTTGGGGGTGGTGGTTTCAAAGTCGAGCCATGAAATAATCCCACACGAAGCTCTCGCAACTCGACAAAAATGTCGACTGAAAAGTTTCAGCTCGGATTAAACAAACATTCAGCCGTGTGGAGGTGAAAGCGCAGTGACGGGAGACGCGCTCAGTCATCTGCTGTTGGCTGCTGCTGGGCAGGACTACACGCCGCTTCCTAATCTTTGGACAAGGCAACAGCGCCCCCTGTCGGTGTCTTATACAGATGGTAATTCATAGGATCCTGATTGTGCTACATCTGCACCTGAGATATTCAAAATGTAGAAATCCAGGTGTCCACGTCCACGTTTCAAAATGATCCTGCACTTGCCATAAATATATTTTCAGTATGAAGTGCGGTTTTGTTTTGGTTTTTGTAATCTTGATAAATAAAAAATACAAATATTTTCATTAGTCAGAAATAGGTTTTTTTTTCCCCTTTAATTTTGTCTCCTGATTGTCAATACCCAGAGAAGTTTATATATATATACATATGTATATATATGTATATATGTGTATATATGTATATATATGTATATATATGGTAAATGGCCTGTATTTATATAGCGCTTTTACTAGTCCCTAAGGACCCCAAAGCGCTTTACATATCCAGTCATCCACCCATTCACACACTGGTGATGGCAAGCTACATTGTAGCCACAGCCACCCTGGGGCGCACTGACAGAGGCGAGGCTGCCGGACACTGGCGCCACCGGGCCCTCTGACCACCACCAGTAGGCAACGGGTGAAGTGTCTTGCCCAAGGACACAACATATATATATATATATATCCAAGACATACCTGAAGCACTGGTAAGCAAATCAACTAATTTTACTTACTTATCTAGCTCAGTGGTGTCAAATTTAATTCATGGACTTCTCAGAGCTTCATCTACTGACTTGACCAATAAAGCAACTGCATAATAATCTAAAAATGAATAAACCAAATAAACATTTTTAAAATTCTTCCCATTTCTTCTAGTATAGGTTTTAGCACATTCTGAAAACATTTACATTCCATAAAGCATCTTGCAGATGAACAGTCTGAGATGATGAAGAAAATTACATGCCATTCCAACAAAAGGCCTCAGGGTTTTTTGTTTTTTTTTCGCATTAAAGAAATGCTGTTATTGTAGATAAAGAGAGCTGTTAGCTGGACTCCTCGGGTTTTAACCACAATCAAGGAAATAAATGTCTAAAGTTACAGATACAGTACTAGCAGTCTTTTACCTGGACTTTGCTCCATAAATAAAAACAAACAGAACAGTGGATGTACTGAAACACAAGCAGGAAATTTTCAGTGATATAATCAAATATTTGCTGGAAAAAACACCTAATTTTTTATTTATTTTTTTGGTTTATCTCTGGCAGGCCATGGGAAATATCTTAGACGTCTATAAAATGAACACTTCAGACTAATTTTCAGACTTTTCATCTGGTGGCTACATGGGTCTGTTCTGGCGCTTTGGCCACATATTTGAGATCCCTGGTCTAGATGTATGATTTAATTCATTTGTTTGTTACAACCTTACGCTGCATGTCATGAAAGCTCATTCTTGCATAAAGTAATAAACGCCAGAAACATTCAGTAGCAAAGTAAGTTGAAATAAGCAATTTGAGCACTGTTTTATTAGTAGAAAGCATATATATAATACTTTCACACAATGCTTTTTCACTATTTACATTAAAAAAATTAAAGTTGTATTTTGTATCTGTGTTTTAGACTGAATGTGCACAAAACCTGAAAAATTGTGAAGAAATGTTTAACTGTCCATGCACTTTGTTGAGCCATACACTGTATATATATAGTATTAAACCAAGTATTTAACAAAGGATTTAGATTTATTTTGGCATTTTGCAAAGATACAAAGAGTGAAAAGATTGGCCACTTTTTCTTTTCATTACAAGTTAAAGAAACAAATCTACATTATAGGAGGTTGTAACAACATAGTCACATAAGGGGAGTCACAAGTTAACAAATTTCCTGTCATACCACGTAGAAGATGTCTGTTAGATAACAATAAGAACTTCAATTTATAGCATGCTTTAATTATTTTTCCCACGGTCACAAAGTTTAAAATAAGCAGCTTTTGGAGGCCTCTAAGGTCTGACCTTCCAGTGAATCTAACTTTGAATATTCAAGCTTTCCTCACTTTTCCTTATACTGTAGCTTCCTGTAGCTTTTGTTTCCCCAGTCTGTTCACTTGTTAAAGGTTACAGTATTGTACAATGGCTCACTTGTACATTCAATAGTGTAGAAGACTCTGGCAAGTAACATCAAATTAAAAGATAACACACCACAAATATCCTGAAACGAGCCCAGCAGCTATTCCTCAGCCACCTTCCCAGTGATCCTGTAGACCTCTGTCGGCCCCTGCTCTCCACAGGTCAGCTGTGTCTCTTGGCTCTCGGGCTTGTCCGTCATATCTGCAACATAATCTCAGATAAACACCTCCAGCATATTTACAAAGCAAATATCTCTCGCCATCGGTTCGCTAAACTGGATTCTGACCAAACAACAGAACTGTTACGCACCTGTGTGTTGAGTGTCTCCTAACTTCTTCCTGTTGTGCTTGTGTGAGGGGGCATAGAGGAAGATAATGGTAAAAACGTACAGGTTCCACATGCCATAGATTCCTGTAAGAAAAGCACTGTGGACCTGGAGAGTGTAGTCTCCCCAGTGCCAATGACCTTCGCTGACCTATTTGAAAAAATAAGAATATTTGAAATAATTTTTAAGAAACCCAAACATGTCCAAATAACAAATCATAAACATATTTTAAAGAAGAACAAGCTGCAATTAAAACTGCTGCTCCTTAGAAGGCTAAAACTTACTTGATTTAAGATGAAGAAGATGATGGTGAGAGCAGCACATGTGAGTGTTGCCAGCATTAAAAATTTAAACCTGAAAATAATACCCTGGGGGGAAAGCACACCTACAGTCAGTAAAGTAAGTAGAATTTCTGCATAATCTAGTGAATGAAAAGCTTTTTCTTTTGTCAAATTCACTACTTTTTCTTATGTGATTTTGATATAAAATTAAACCTTATAGCGTAGTCTCCGAGTCTCTGGCATTGTAGGAAGCTGTTGCAATTTCCCACTAATGGTTCTGAACACGCAGTGCACCATGCGACACAGGGAGAAGAAATAAAGGCAAACAGAAATCCCTGCCACAATAATGAAGGTAATATGTGGTTTCAGATAAGAAAAAAATCTTGGATGTTAATGGTAGCCTGACTGCTGAATTACTTTTTATAATAAAGAATAGATATTTGAAGGATACTGCAAACTTACTCCTGGATTCTGACGCCCACACACTGTAGAATGGATTGCTCAAACGAACCCCCCTTCGGTAAGAGAGAAAACAACTTACTTTTTTTTATTAAATCCACACCAATAACACAAAAAAATGAAAAACATTTACCTTTCACTCAGGTCAAATATGAGAAGAACAGAAGATCCAAACACCACAAGCCCAACTTGCCACCAATAAGCTGAGAGGAGATTCCTCTGACGTTGGTCCTGGTGATTTAATGAATGAAAGAATAAGTAACAACTGGCAGGAAGGTGCAGAGAAATGTGCAAGCAGCAAAGAAAGACCTGCTAACCATGAGGTGTTCACCACAGAAGATGATCCAGAAACAGAAGAGTACAGAGTATAAGGCGCACTGCTGGGCATCTTCAAACAGCAGCATCCATGTCCACTCAAAGCCCATGGACAGCCACTCCACCGGCATGTCCAGGAAGGCCATTGAGAGGCCCAGAGCAAAAATCACCCTGAGCAGGACGAATACATCAGTGAAAGAAACACTTACATCCACTCTAACAGACAAATAACTCCTTCTGCTCTATTGCAAATGGAGAAATGACCTAGCTCTAGGCAATCATGCACTTAGATCAAACACTTTTCATTTCCTCTGCTTGGAAATGCTACACAAAAGTATGTTGGACTTCTGAAAAACAAGCTCTTAAAAGTATGCCAGAAGGTTTACTTGCAGTTTTAAGTTCTCATTGAGTATAAAAGAGCCAGAAGCTCCTTACAAGTAGCTGTATTGTATAACTTCACTCTACCTTTTAAATAAGATGATTTTGTTTCAGTCTGCAATAAAATCTCAATAAAATCAGTCCGCAGAGGCAGCAATCGCAACCTAAAGTGCTCAAAATTAAATATTCTTATTCTTATTAGTGGTAGTAGGAGCAGCAGTAGTAATATTATTATTATTATTATTACATTGTTTTTTATCATTTGAGAAATTATTAAAATTCAACTCAGTATTCTGACATAAAATTCATAAATATACTTAAATGTTAAAATGTCACTCTTAATCTCTCTTTCCACATGCAGGCTAGCCAAAACATACTTTTCCAAAAGGACCGGAGGTCTCGCCAAGAGCCGAATCCTGTACCAGTACCAAACTGTAGCCACTGATATCCAGGGACTGAACACAGTCTTCATGCTGATCCACACTTTGGTGAAGCCTCCATTCTGGTGGATGCCCTGAGGAAGAGGAGGGACATCAGATGTCAGAGTGCCAAATTTTTAGCTTTGGAGATTAATTCAAACACAACATGCCGTATAACAGAAGTTAACATGTAGAAATTATACTCACCACTACATGGATGTCCTTTATTTCCCCGATGCCAACGTTCATTGTGTCATTCACTGGCAAACGCAGGTTCATTAAAAAATATTTGTGGGCTACACTTCCCAGCTCCATGAATGGTATTGGGTCACAGTGATAAAAGCGCCCTTCGTTTTCATACGTCTGAAAAAAACACTGGGTTTTTCCTCACTAAGCAGAGAAAAGTGTAACTATTTCTCATTTCTGTGTATAACATGAAGTCATGCAGGTTTACCTTGGATACTGCAAATGTGCATCTGAGTGGCCTTTGCTCCACCGAGTGAAATTTTGTGGTCCACTCAGACGTCATGTCGTCCCTGTACGCCAGACGGGCATCGATAGTGATGACCACATCATCTTCTACACAGGCAGGAAAATTGCTCATTTTATTAGAAACCCACTGTAACTAGGAAACTACGCTATTTACATTTCTGACAAAGACAAGACACACGTCTTACCAATCTGATTTATCATTTTGAATGCAATGTCAAACTGCAGAACAGCCAGCATGTATTGAAACCACGGACTCATTTCAGTGTTGGGTAGGGGTACATGCACAGCAAAAACAATGTCGTTGGCATCGAGCGTTTTTGCCAGAGGGTCGTCAAAACTGTGGACCTGCTGGCATCGATTTGAGCCCCATGGCATGAGCCAAGCACGTGTCCTGTGGAAATTGATGCATTTGGTGGCCAAGTAGCTGATTGCAGTGGTAGGACTGGGAGCTATCATAAAGGAAATCAGATATATATTATGAAAAAAGACAGACTAAAGCTTAATCATTAAGAGCATTGGGAAAATTTGTTTTTCAGAGCGCTTCCAACACAAAAAATTATGTTAATTAGACTTCATTTTCCTAAAATTGAAATCATTGAGGGCTATCCTGCATTTACAATCAAGCTGAGTAGCTCAAAAGCACACAAACAATAAAAAAAATATACAGTAGGTGCAAAGAAACTCCATGCAAAAACTATAAATATAATTAAATATGGAAACTCTACAAGATAAAAGATGCAAAACTGCTCACCCAGGTGTAGAAACAAGCTAAACTGCTTGCAATCAAGAATTTAAATTAAATAAATGTTTAGTTTTTAGAATACATAGAAAATAGAAAACAGTGAGGAAATAATTGAGAACATTAAAGGAATGTCGCCAGCTTTCATTGGCTGGCTGAGTAGAATCTGCAGTGCAGTAACATCTAAATGCACATAACAAAGATTGAATAAGATAAATTACTCCAAATAATTATTAGAAAACATTATTATTTGCAAACAAATGTAAAAATATGTTTTAAAAAAATCATCTACTTACATATCAATGCTCCAACCAAGATGGAAAATATTTGGAATAATAAAATGAAGAAAACAAATAAAACCAACTTTTTAGTGCTCATCTTCTCTATGATCGCTCCTGCCATTTGTAAAAAATATTTTGGGTAAAAAAATATAAAAAGAAAGTGTTGTCCAGACAAGCCAAGTGCTCCACTGAAGCTCATCTACCTGCTCACACACATCTGACTCTCATATGGGATACGCCAGACATTAGGCTCAAACAGAGCATGTGCAGAAGGGACAGGAGGTGGAATCATTAGGCATTAAAAAGATCAGAGAACACTGGTCTATAAAACATGATTCCTTTATTGCTTAAAGAATACAACTTTGTAGTATAGGCAAGTGAATGTGTATCACAACTAGGTTACTTATCTTTACACTGAGGATTGACCACAGTCACAATGCAAATGTTTGATACTGCACCCAAGGAAAAGGGAAATAACAAATCTGGCCTCGATATCAAAGCGTCTTACAAAGTTATAGGTTAATAATATTTAACATTATTCACACTGATCTGGAGCCAGCAATGAGAATCACAGTAGCACCTACACCTTAAAAAGAAAACAAAACACGAACTCTGGGCTGTTAGTCTATCTTTGGTTCTATCAGACAAAAATATTCAGTTTTTCAAAGGTGCAGCTAAGAACCAATACTGTGTGTAGTTCAAGGTAGAAAGGAAACAACATAATGTTTCTGAATAAGCTAAAACAAAAATGTATTTTTCCATTATCTAATAGTACAATTTCAATATTGACGCCCCCTCAACTCTTCCACTGTCGAACAAATAACTCCACAGAGGGGTAAAGAAAACCCTTTTTGACAAAATGGCAAAGACAAGAGAAGAGGAATTAGATGCTCTGGAGTCGTCAGGAGCGATTCGCCTACACCACTGATTGTTATCTAACACTATGGTTGACATAAACAAGCTAGTTGGTGCAGTACCTGAAAGAGCAAACACCTGCTGCACCATTACCAAACTTCAGTGAAATGTGCCTTCAGTGCATCCACAGTACATCCAGAAATCTACAAATTACTCACAACATAACATCAAGACATAATTAAACGGAAGTAACTTAAAAAGGGGGGGGCGGGGGGATAATCCAAATTTTATTAACAGCTTTTCAAACCAAACAAATTTCAGGTTCTGGTATCATCATGTTGACATCCCCCTCCAACTCCATCTCCACTGTCGATACCAAATGTGCATTTTCCTTGTGTCACTGATGTGCACCAGCGGTCAAACACATCTCAAGTCTCTGTCAACAACAGCACTGGGAGGTTTGCCCGCCAACACTGTCCCAGGAAGGGATTCAGACAAGCTGAACGGTATCCTGGGATCATATGTCATCCTCTTCGTCTTCATCCTGAGAGGAACCGGCCTGTTGGGCAGCAGTGGCAGATGCTGCCGCCATCTGTGCCTGCTGGGCGGCCTGCTGCATCTGCAACCATTCCTGCTGAGCGAGTTCTGCCTGCTGCTGTCGCGCCTTCACAAACACATGAGAGGCATGAAACAGGCGAAGGTGAATGAGGATCATATCAGGCAATTAGAGAAGCTCATGGTGGTGATATCTGATGTCTAATTAGAACTTGAATATTTTAAGACACATTCGTTTAATATGTCACTATAGCACTGAACATTGAAAAAAATGAAAATAAAGTTTCTGCAACATATTACTATCGCTGAATTATACTTGCTTATACTTGTTTCTAGAAAGGGATTGAGTTAATAATTAGCAAAGTACTGCTGAAAGTTAACTAAATGGATCTGTCATGCATTACTGAACAGTATAGTGCAAATAATGTGCCTCAAGTGGTTATGTGTAACAGCCACTCAGCACACAGATGATTTAAATCGGACATGGCTTTGTTGTATTTCTCCCTAAAGGTTTACTCATTTCCTAAGGAACTTAGCCCAAAACAAAAGACCAATCACAAAAGACCTACTTCAGAAAGACTCAGATCTCTACATAATGTGAAGTTCTGGTCCAATAATTTTGTTTATCATAACATTTCTGAGCAATCATAGTTGTGCTGGTTTGTTTAATTATTTTTTAGAACACAGTGTGGCAGCAATAAATTCACATTTTCAATTCCACTGTTTTCGCGGACTCTGAAAGCAGCACAGAATGATTTCCTCTAGTCAGAACTTCAAAAACAGCTATGCTCAGTTCAGTGGCTGTTGGAAGCACCTGGACATTTTCTAACAGCTGCTTTTTATCATTTTATTATGTCTTTGCTGTTTTTAAACCTGATTTTTAAATGCCCCTCAGAGTTCCCTGAGCTGAATTATGTGGATTTGTACTGTTTCTTGTGTCTCCTCTCTCAAAATCATACCTTTGCAAACAATTCCTGTTGTTGTCTGAGGAGCTCTTCTTCAGGGATGCCCAGGTTCTCCAGTCTCGAGCTGGCCTTCCTCCTCTTCAGAGCAACAGTTTTACACTCCTGCAGGACGTCTTTCACCTCCGTGATGTACGATGCGAAACCGAGGCTCTCGAGCGCTGCGGTGCGAAAGCAAGAGGCGAAAGTGTTTCAATCACTCTCTGTGGTTTAAGGCTCATTACATGGTGCTGCACACACATATACACACCTTTCAGGGTATAGGGAAAACAAAGCTGGACTCACCGTTGATGACATGCTCTGGGGAAATGGTTTTCTTCTCCGACTTGTTGCATATATCATTGGCTTCTGAGGATATGAGGTGGATGAACTCTGTGCAGCAGTTAACAACAAGCTCCCTGGCATCGTTGGCCACCCGTACATTGGGGAGAGTTTCTTTAATCATTTTGTTGATAGCTGCTCTCGGGATGGTGAGGTCGTCGTCATTTCCAGAGGAAGAAGCCATCGTGGCAGTCGACGGGACAGAAACCAGGGAAAAAAGAAAGAGAAACTCCGATACTCGACGGAAGGAAACTGTTACGAGGCCTTCTCGGGTCGGCAGAATTAAAATATAACGGTCAGGTCAAGACAACGTCAACGCAGAGTTAAATGTCATATGGGAGAGTGACGTTCCTCCAAGTTAGCCGGCTAGCTTAGCTAGTAGCTAATAGTTGAAACAATTTCCGCAGAGTGGAGCCTTTGTGCGGAACGTGGTAGAAAAGAAACCGTTAGAAAACGCTAAAGCACATACACCATAAAAGAAGACAAAACGTCAATACTGTGTGGAAAGTGCTTAGCTAGCTAGCAGCCAGGCTAGCTAGTAGCTGTGGTCCCTGTCGCCAGAAAGCCGCCGCAACGCAAAAGACAAGTGAAGGCGGAGAGCATGGCTACCGCTAGGCTAACAATGAAGTGCCTCCCGCATGGCTAAACAGTTAGCTGCATAGACACAGAAACGGGACACACGTGCCACAACACTGCCTGTTGTTCTACCCTGCATCGAGAGATGATTTGGACATTTTAGATAAGCAGAAACATGGTATCGATTCGTTTATACGTTTGAAATGTGGGCAACATTAGCTTAATTCAGTCCGGATGCAACGTCAAACAAAGAGCCGGATACCGTTCTTCTTCTTTGGTGTTTAAAGCCTGTCTGAATCGCATTGCTGTGTCCTTGTGGTATTTGTCGTCCATTACTGCCCTTAGAAGATATGTTTGGAGAATTAATACAGATGGTGGAAAAACATCGAGATCAAAACAAATAAACTGAATATGTACTTTTTTACATTATCTATATATTTTGATGGTAGCTAATATTTCGTATACAGTCAGAGGACCGAATCCCATATGCACCTCACATCCAAAACATAAAAGATGAGGCCAATCCATAGCTGATTGTGTGAGTTTTATATCCAGGTATGTTTTTACTACATTATCTTTAAAAAAAAAATGAAGCTGTTGCCAATCAGATGCTTTCCAGATGGTCTTGTTGTACCCATCTCCCGAATTTCACTTTTTTGTTTATTTTTCATATTCACCATTCCATAATACCTGTTTCCATTGATCTTCAGTCCAGTTCAGCAATTTCTCCCTGTGTCCATAATTCCAGTGAAACCTCTTCTAATGAAGTTTCTGTTCGTGGATCAACTGATAGTCTTTGCTAGGGTTTTTTGTATTAAGGACATGATTTCCAAAGACTTTTCATTTGCTGTACATAGTTTTTCAGACCTTCCACTTCTTCTTTTGTCCTCCACTTGTCCAGTTTTCTCAACAACAACAAAAAAAGCACACAGTGCAATATGCCAGGTTTTCGCCTAATAGTTCAGTGGGATTTATATTGTTGGTGCAACAACACAAATTATGTGCTTTGGTGACAGGCTGCTAGTAACAAAGTGCCTAAAGACATCGTTTAGAATGGGTTCTTTGCTAAGCTGTCTGTTATGTGTTTACACAACACTGGTTCGTGTAGTGAACCAGTATCTTTGTACAGTACTGTATGTTACCCTCGTGTGGTAAACATAATTATCAAGAGCATCTCTTTTAACCCTGTTATCTCCTCCCCGGAAGGGTACGTCTGATAACGTGTCTACTAATGCTTTTTCATGTATATTTTTCAGCACAAGCACAGATCTTGCTGAAACAAATTTGAGCCGCAGTCATTTATGGCCCTATTTCTGCAATAATTATCTATTTTATTTTTGGACTTATCAGTGTTCAGCAGCATCCAGACTGGTTTCACAGATGTTTGAATTTCCTAATAATTGTTTACTGCCATCTAGTGTCCATCAAGAGAATACCAGCTTTTACTTTATTATTTTCTTTTTATATTCTAACATGATCAATTTTCTAACCAAAGCCTGTCAATATCCTACAAAAAATAAATAAATAAAAGTTTTCTCACATTAAAGTCCATGTGGCGCGAGGCTCAGAATTCAGCGGCTATATTCCAGATTAAGCCATGAGTAATTATGTTATGTAATCCAGCAGATTAAGATAAGATAAAATAACCTTTATTAGTCACACACAAGATTATGTAAGATATACATAATCTTCTGACACTGTAACAGAACCCATTAACAAAACAATGCTTTTAAAAAGACAAAAAGTTCATAAATTAGTCGTTATAACTCTGAACTACCTGATTTACTTTGATTTAATCTTGCTGTTCGCATAGCTTTGCTTGTTTCCCATATTACACAAGGCTCAAGGGCTTGTCAACTTAAGACAGTTATGCCACTTGAATGCACCAGGGTGTGGTTTAAACCTGCAAGAGCTTACTGCCACGTATGAAAAGAGACTGCATTGTCATGGCATTTCATAGCTTTATTTATTTCAGGGAGGTAACACTGCTAGACAATAACAGCCAAATATGCCCATGTCACAAAAATAACAAAGATATGACATGATTCAGTTGCTCTTCTCTAACTTAAAACTCTTTCGGCTTCTCCACTGCAAAAGCTTGATGAAGTTCAGGCTGGCCGTGAAGACCTTGTCGTGTTCAAACACCATTTTGTAAAACGTTTCAATCGGGAGGTCACCATTTGGGTCAGCGTACTTGAGTGTGGTCATAGGGGTATAGAGAGTGTTTGTCTGGTGCCGGAAAGGGGGATTGTCCATGATGAGGATCTTGAGGGTGTGCTATGAAGAAAGATCATTCATAATATAGTTTATTGCTCTTGTAGTGCATTAAAGGTTAAAGGTGAAGTATTTGCCAAATGATACCTCTGCCACGTCCTCAGGAGTCTGTCCGAGGGTTTCAAAGATCTGTTTGTAGTTCTTTAAGTAGACATTTGTGAACATGTCAGCAGTCACTTTGTCTGCTTTGCTGAGATCAATCTTTAGGCCCTCGTCATAAACCTTACGCTCAAACTCGGTTATCACTGGACCTGGCTCTATCAGGCTGATGCTGAGGAAGAAACAGAAGAGAAGAACATCAAAAAATCTCTTGAAATAGGAAACTGAAATTCAGTGCACAACTGTGAAAGGTAATTAAATATTACTTTCATTATACAGGAAACTTTAGAAACCACATTAATATTCAGTCATCATTTGATACTGTGTTAGAACATGCCTAAACATCACAGTGTGCTGTGGTTCAAATATTTTCCTCCTAATGGTGCAGAAAGTGCTAGGTGTTGTTGTTCAATATGACTTCACAAATATACCAGATGCAAGGGCTAGTTTTCAGGTAGTTACATTTTGGTTGCACTTTTTTTCTCTCACAAACATGCTAGTAAAAGATGAACAGGAATAAAAAATTATAGACCTAGCATCTTACTTTAGACCAAACCTCAGGGCTTGTATCGCTAGGCTTTCACAAAAGCCTTCCAGTGCAAACTTAGATGCTGCGTAGATATCGTTGAATAAAATCCCTGAAACAGGGAAAGAAGTTGTGAAGCAACTGTCTTAAAAAATGTTCTCATGATCAGCAGGTGAAGCAGCTCTTACCCTGAATCCCCATGACGCTGCTAATGACCACAATATGACCTTTTTTCCTTCTCTTCATGTCGGGCAGGATTTCCTTCATTAATCGCACAAGTCCAAAGAAGTTGGTGTCCATGACACTTTTCATCTCTTCAATAGACTGACACTCAATGGGTCCAATCAGACCCATCCCAGCATTACTTACTGTGAAATAAGGTCACACAGACACATATCATTTAAATTTCCACAGACGGTCGAAAAGCCAAATTAATACTGTTTCAAAGCAAATGGTAGGAGCTTACTGAGAATGTCTACCCTGCGCTCAGGCAGACTGTCCACGCAGGCTTTGATGGAAGCCTCGTCACATACGTCCAGCTGCTTGATCTCCAAGGTCCGGCCCAGGGTCCGACCTGCTGCCTCAACCAGAGGCTCAGCCTTACTCAGATTTCTCATGGTGGCATAGACTACAACAACAAAAACTCATCTGAAGCTGTTGTATTTTTATTAAATTTAGAACTGAAATTAAAATTTTACATTACATTTGAGAAACTATCACAAAAATTATCTCCACCAGGAGCAGCAAATGTGGATTTTTCTCAGATTTCAACTTTCAGGTGTTGCCTGTTACATCAGTACGACATGGTTACTAGTTACTCAGGGTAATCAGCAGACCAGGAGGACCATTTCTTCCATAAAACATGTTTAAGATAAAAACTGTTGATGGTGAGCTGTATGGATTGTTTCTGGAACCAGAGTTAAAAAAAAAAAGAACTTGTCAATATTTTGTTTGTAGAAGAAACCCATCACATATTGATAATGTAAATAATGTGAATTTTATCAAGTTAATATCCTTCTAGTGAATGGTTTCAAACTGGTATCACATTTGCACAGTTAACTTTAATGAATAGTCTGCAAAGTATTAATAGTAGAAATTATTGAGCCAGACACAGCAGCCATGTAACGTTCAAGGAAAGTTCAAGTACATGTGAGATGGTAATATTTTAAAACATCCTACACACTTCCAAAAAATTCAAAAGGAAAACACATTTTTACACCATTATGTGCTAGTTTTTTTCACATAGTTCCTCTAATTTCTCTCATTTGAAGCATTTTCAATCACAATTTAAATACATTATATTTTTCTTTGATCCCTCCACACCTGACACAGAGTTTTGAAATGTAGTCAACAACCCCAGCTATCTTAGAAAAAGTCTGTTAAAAAGTTACCCATGAACCTCTTCTTCTCATCTTTTGCAATATGGACAGCCAATGCGAGGCCAATCCCAGAGGAGCAGCCGGTGATGAGTACCACCTTCTGGTTCATCGTGCCTGGTTAGTGCTTTTCTTACAGCTCCAGCAGTAGAGAATAAAACGGGAACAAAAGAGGAGAGGCAACAGACCACATGCAGGCACTTTTAAAGCCCCTTCCTTAATCAGAGGTTTACAACTCAGCAAAAAGCTGTGTGCACATGGTCTGAAGATTAGTATCATTCGTGGCATTCACATGGTGCTGTTACATGGTGAGGATTTAGGCTAATGATAAATCCAGTTGTAATATGAAGAAAATATCAGACCTATAAGCAAAGTGCATCATCTTATTTAAATAAAATAAAATACAATCAGACAATGGTGAAATATTTTATTTAAATTTGGAATTTCCCACAAATTGTTTTGCAACAAAGACAGCAAAAGGTAAGTTCTTTGTAAAAATATGGAGAAGTTAATTTGTGGTTTTTAAAAGAATCTATTTAAAACACAGTTTTCAAAATAATTTTGAGTAAATTGTAAGACCACACTTAATCTAGACAATGTAGTGGGTTGGTTTTTTTTTTAAAGTAGATGTAAAGTAGATGAAAAAAAACATTCATTGCTGTAGCAAATAAAACTTTCTCAACATTGTATTATTTTATTTTTTTTTACTGTGGGCTGTGAATTATTAAATTCAGTTTTTTTAAATATGTACCCTACTGCTCAAAGTTTTGAGATAAAAAATAATTTTTGAAAATTAAAGTCAAGTTGATGAGAAATGCTATTAATATTTAACATGAACATTGGTTTTTTTTATATCTATGCTGACACACACACAGGCCCGTTTCCACCAACTGCCATTCATCTGTTGTAATAGCACGCTGAGTCACCTAAAGCAAGTCTATCCCATTAAATTCATTAATCATTCAATTACAATCATCTCAGCACATCTAAAGTTTGTGAAACTGAGTCAGTGAGTTTGGTTATAGTCTCAAGAAAACAAAACAAAAAAATAACGTGTACTGCTTTTACAAAACAGGAATAAGTGGCTCTGACTGAAAACTAGAGAGCACAACTGAGTAGGACAGCTAAATCAGAAACCTTTTGGTTCCAAAGCAGACACCTCACAGGTCCTTAAATGACAGATTCATTAAATGATATCTCCAAGAGCCAAATTTTGTTGGTTTGTCATGAGAATACCTAAAGCTGTTGTATGAAAATTTCAGTTATCTGGTCATTTTCTCCTATAGCCTCAAACAGCCTTCATTTATTAGAAAAACTTCAAGATGATACATTTTCTTTGGGTTACACATGTTGCTGGAACACACCACTGACAGCTGCTGAAAAGAGCCTGAATGCACTTATGTAGATATTGCCTTAAATTAATTATTACTTCTCTTCTATAACATTTATGAACATTGTAATGTTATTTTGTGTAAAAGCCAATGTACTTTTCTTTTCTTAAATAGTAGCTTGACTATATATATATATTTTTTTTTTTTTACTCTGAAAAAATGGGTTGGAAATCGGATGGGTTACGTTTTAACCTGCACCACAGCTTCAAGCACATATTTGCATCTGCACTTTACCTGCAGAGAAGTTCCATCTTAGGTGCCAATTTATGCTTCAAGGTCAACAAAAAATGGCAAACATCAAAACTATCCAGATTTTTCAGAGATGCTTAAAATATGCGTTTATTCCAATTTAATTCTACTGGGCATAAAGATTTTGGGACCACATCTTTGGGTCCCAAGCTTGGAACCATCCGGTGAAGGACGGGATCTCTTCCCCCTGCTTAAGGATGGTGATGGGGGTACCACGGCGGCCAGAGGGGTCTGAATCCACATATTGTTTGGCTGAAAGGAAAGCAGGATGTATTTGTGAACTGAGGTCTCTTCTGTACAGTAGGCTTAAAGGGCCATTCACTATAACCACATTCAAATTGGAGCTAAAATTATAGGAAGAGTGGTAAATTTAGAAATGAATGTAAAATAATATTATTTAATATTCTTTAAAATTATTCAGTCATAAATTTGCAAGATTAAAATCTTAAATGTCCAGCAAAAATATTTTATTCTCTGAGAGTAAATCAACAAATTTACAAACAACATAATATGAGAAAAAACAGTCTTAAATTTCTGAGCTTATAGTCAAATTTTTGAGAAAATAAATTTGTAAATTAATAATCTCAAATATTAATCTAAAGAAATTGTTTTTAGGTAAATTTGGTCATTTCCTTACTCATAAATTTACAATAGTTATCTCAAATAAAATATATTTGCTATCAGAATTAATATCTATAATTCATGCCTTATTTTCTGGGAAAATGATTCCCTCTATATATGTTTTTATTCTCTCTGAATTGACCCCGTTGCTGTATTTCTGTAATTCCTTCTCATGTCTAATAGTTTTCTCTTACCCATCTTAGGTGATTCAAGTTTCTCCGTTTCATTTGCTTCGTTTCCAATCCAAACAAAGATCTGATGGGAACAGTAATCAAAGAGCTCAAGGATCAAAAGGAGGAAAACATCAACTAGCTACAACTCGAGTCTTTCATCAAAAGTGCTTTTATACCTGATCCCATGTGTCCAGAATCATGACATCATCAGTTGCCAGATCGATCTGTGAGAAGTCCCCGGGAACTTCCTCAACCTGAAAATTGATCAGCACACAATTACAAAGTGGCCATTTAAAAATTGTTAAACTAGTTGGTAAGAAAACAATATAACGGTTTATATAAATATAACTACTTACATTTAAAAAATCTGATTGATGAACACTTGAATACTCACTGTTAGCCTGCCAGTTTTGTTTGAACATCCAAACAGTCGTGGTTGTCGGACCACTCCCCGAAGGGCCTTGGACGTCTGGTATTCTTTCTTACCACCCAGAGCAGCCCAGAAAACAGCTGGAAACAAGGAGAAAAGGACCGTTTTCTACTGGGGACATCTCACAAATACTACTTTGTGGAAATCAAAGCTCTTTACCTGGCTCCTGTGTCTCCTCCACCCCAGTAGCAGTTCCTCCAAGGAGGCTGGCAACATAGTTAGCTGCAGCCATCTCATCTGAACTTGCACCCTTTCCCTTCCACAGGAAAAGGCAATCAGGAGTCTTCAGCACAAACACATCATTGGTGTTCAGAGAGGATGCAGTGGGCTCCACCTGTGTGGGTGTGACAGAAAGATAGGGAGGAGTGGTGGCATCTGTTCATTATAAAGAACCAGTTTATTAACATTCGGTGTAATAAATGAGGCTGACCTCAACAGCTCGTGTGGTATTGTTGCCGCTCTTGCGGATATGAAAGAGCCGTGTGCTGCTTGGCTTAGTCTCGCCACACTTGCGGGATGTCCCACCCTGATGGATGACCATGGGCTTGTCCTTAAACAAGCTCACAAGATGGGGGGGTTCTTTACCTTGAGTGACCCGAACCTGCGGAGATACAGCCACACAGTCATTAAAATTGATGAGGAGACTGATCCCAGACTTACCTCTAAGTACAGCTGGGAGCTGGTTAATAGGAGCTCAGGGTAAAGACTGAAAACAGGGGACAGCAGTTCCTCTGTATGAAGGTTAAAAACATCAGCCTACCTCTTCTTCTCCAGTTTGTATACTAAGCTAACAGCTGCAAGATGCCAAGGAGGTCATGTTTTTGGTAGTGTCTGCATGCATGTCATCGTGTCAGTTTGTAAACACAATAGCTCAAACATTTTTGAATGAATTCTGATAACATTTTGTAGGTGTGTTGAGTGGGGTCATGTTAACACTCCATTAAAATCTGGTTTAAATCCACCAAAGTCTTCAAGGTCAACTTAATGATTTGTTGGTTGAAAATGGAAAAAAAGTCTGTTAATGTGAATGATTTTGCAAGTGTGTTGTGTATTTTATTGCTTCTTGTTCATAATATAAAAGATGGACCTGAGAGTTGCATAATTCCTTTCACTAACTGTTGCCAGGTACTTTTATTTCTTAACATTTTAACTCTTACTTGAAATCTGGAAAAATCTTACCTGTGTTGCTACTCCATTCATGGAATCATCCAGCTTGACGGTGAGGAAGGCCGAAGCAGTCAGTTCATCCTGAGTGCATTTCTGCCCTTGCCTACAGCAAGCAAAATTAAGCACAATTAAATATGATATTCACAATTAAGGCATAAAAGTAATGTTTCAAAAACTCTTGATTCTCTCAGCACCCTCACACAGCTTACAAAAACACTAAATACATAAACTGACTACCCACAATTATATTTTATTATTTTACCACAAGTTTAAGAAATCATTAATGTTGTTGGTTTTTTTTTTAATCACAATGTCATGAGATTTCAGCAGTACTATAACTGGTAACTGTTTTCATTCTGTGGCATCATCATATCAGACAGACAGAATGGATGTGATGAAATTTGTTACATTTGCATTCCACTCTCAGATTATATTAATATTGGCACTCATTTAATTCTAGAAACATTAAAACTGCTTTAGGCTGATTCAGAAGGGGTCGGCATAGCAACCTCAAAGGGGATTGTGTCTCCTTCCAGGATCTTAGAATCATTAATGGGTCAATGTGTATAAACCCTGCCTAACATGCCTGCAACTGAACAATCCCACCAGCTTTGATCACTTTCATTTATTGGTTCATCTACAAATTCTGCATCATATTAAAGAGTGCTTGAAGATAAAGCAAAATTTCTCTATATCAAACCCAAACCCTTCATGAATAAAAATCTTGTTACAAAGACCAGTATGCTCTACAACTCAGTGGCTTTACTTCTGTGTGTGTTGTGTCACAAGTTCATATCATGCTTACATTTTTCATTCACCTAAACAGAGAAAGTGAGTACCAAGGCAGGAATCTTTGCCTTGTACCCCTTAAAAGAACAATTCTGCCACATTGAGCATGTTTTACGCACCAGGTGTAAATGATGTGCTTCTCTCTGCCTCCACTGTTGTAAGAGTACAGCACCAAGTAACAGTCACCT